CTCAGTAACATTCAGAGATGTGGTTGTGGAATTCAACAAGGAAGAGTGGGGTCAACTAGACTCAGCTGAAAAGAACCTGTACAAGGATGTGATGCTGGAGAATTACAGGAACCTGAATTCATTGCATGAAGGTGACATCTATGTATTGTCTATTTTGTGTACTAATGGAATGAGTTATTGAGAGCTACACAACTGCTGAAGTTGTTATGTTCATTTGGCTCTGTGTTCAGGTTTTCTAACAGCGCATCTTCCTGCTCTGTCTAGTAGAAAGTCCTTTTTGGTATAGAGTGAGAAATATACTGGTCCAATGGTGCTTTTTGGCCTTGTGCTTCAGCAACTTAGCCTACTGTGCTGTGAAATTCTTTTCTCTATAAAATAAGATATGTGTATGTTTCTTGTCATTTTATCTTTTCAATTAATAGCTCACTTATTTTCCAAACCAGTTGAGATCCCCAAGTTGGAGAGTGAGGAAAAAAGATGGAGAATGAAAGGAGAAATCCCAACAAGAACCATTTTGGGTAAGAACCAGGCAGATGCAAAATATTTCTAAGAGGTTGCTGTTTAAATTATTTATTGTAGAAATGACAACAAAAGTACCTGAACATTGGGGGGAAACAAAAGGGGGTATCATTGCCTTTTGTCCACAGGCTCTTTTTCATATCTGGTAAAGTAGTGTCATGGTTGGAACTAGAAAACAGTTAACTTAAAGACATGTGACTTGGCACAGCCCCTCCCCTGTGGCTTTTTTTTTTTTAATGTATTTAGTACAGGGTCTCACTACACAGATCAGATTCATAGTGATCCTCCTGTTTTCAGCCTCCCAAGTGCTGGGATTATAAGCCAACGGCACCACACCCAGCCTCAATCACAGTCTCAGTGAGCCACAGGGGAAGGGCCAGCACAGCATTCTGGGGATTGAACCCTGGTGCCTGCACCTGTCTAAGCGGGCACTTTAGTCTGCGGAGCTATCTGGCTGGCCCGCCTCTGTAACTTTAAAGTCCTTACTGCAAGGACTAAATGAGTTGGCACATATAACACTGAGAACATTGTCTAGCTCAGGCTGCTAAAGAAGCAAAACATCAGCCAACTTAACACTGAACATTATTCTTGGTTTTTTTAAGAAATTAAATGTGCTTTGTGCTAAGGTGGCTTTTAGTAATCTTTTATTTTTCCTTCTTTGGTTATATAACATCGTATGCATTAACTCCCTACCCTCATAATCTGTTCTTATTGACACTTTGTAAGAGAGTATAAAATTGAGACATTTTAGTAAGCACAGAAAAGTATGAAGAAAACTATAATTTACCCATTACTTCATTCCTCAGAGCTACATAGTACTAACATGTTGTTTGGGGGGTTTTGTTTTGTTTGTTTTGTTTTTGTGTTTTGCTTTTGTATGCTACCAGGCCTTTGTATTGAGCTACATTCTTAGGTATTTTTGTTTGTTTGTTTTTTTATTGTTTTTGAGGCAAGATCTCACTAAATTATCCAGGATGGGCTTGGATTTGTAATCCTTTTCCCTCAGGCTCTCAAAGTGCTGGTATTACAGGCATGTGCCACAATGCCTAGAAGCTTGAGGATTTTTTTTTTTAAGCCATGTTTATGTTACACCTCTGTGATTCCAAAAGATTTATATTTTAATAAATTGTAGGAAAATTCTCAAGGTTTTTTTCCAAAAATGTACCAAGAATATGTCATTTTACACCCTGTTCTTTT